GTTTTAGTAACCTTATTAGTCACATTGCTTAGTTTGTGTAGCTAAGTATTTACGCTCTCTAATTAGGCATTGGTTGCCTTGTTATTGAGCTTTGCTAGTGAGCTTAGTTGACTTTGTGCTTTTGCTTACTAGCATGTGTAGGAGCTCCCTTGTTGCTTAAAGTACTAGTGGCATAGGTTTGTGTGACATTGCTCCTAGAATTGTTTAGGAGAGCTCTAGCTAGCCCGGCACCTTAGTTGCATAATTAGTATCTTGGCAAGGTGCTAGTGAGCATTTATAGAGGGGTGTAGTCTTGGCTAGACCGATTGTTTTAATTCCACATTTATATCGGTTAGCCGACGTGATTAATTTTAGAAAAGACTATTCACCCCCCCCTCTAGTCCGCCATCTCGACCCTTTCAAGGGGACTCAGGGCCGGGGCCGGCCGTCCGGCCCTTCCTCGGCTGGGGTCACCATGCCGGTGGTGGTGGATGGCTATTCCCACCTAGCCGATGGCGAGCACCCCAAGGCCGAGGAGGAGCTGGAAATTGAGGACGATTGCTAGTCTGGACCTTCCATTAGGCATAGGTGAGACACAGGCCTGGGAGGATTACATTAAGCGTGTTCATAACCCTAGATTTAAAAAGGTTTCTAGGCAGACCACTACTAGAGATATGGGCAAAATGTTTGCTGATCAACGTTCTTTGCTTATGAATTCATTGTTGCATGCTTGCTCATCTGTTTCTTTGACATCTGACATTTGGTCTGGTAATGCTAAGGGGGACTATATTTCTATTGTTGGTCATTATGTTAGTGCTGATTGGGAGTTGCAGAAAAAGGTTGTTGGTTTTAGGCTAATTGAGGTGTCACATTCTGGTGAAAACATTGCTGAAAAAATAGCTAGTGTGGTTGAGGAGTTTAGTTTGATTGATAAGATCTTTGCTGTCACTTTAGACATTGCTTCATCTAATTCTAAGGCTTATGATATCTTGCAACCTGTCTTCTTTGGTTACTTGGGTTCTTATCCTGCACCTACACGTGATGATCCTCATAAGGTTAAGTATTTGCTTGTGCATCAGCGTTGTGCCTGTCATATCATTAATTTGATTGTTAAATCTGGCTTGAAGAGATTGAAACATTTTACTGAAGATTTCAGAACTGCAATAAACTTTTGAATTCCTCTAATCAAAGAATTGCATTGTTCAAAAAATATTGTATTGCTCAGGGTATAAGACCTAGAAAGTTTGGCTTGGATATGGATGTTAGATGGAATTCCACCTATTTAATGCTTAAACATTTGCTGCCATACAAGGAAGTCTTTTCTGTGTGGCTTAACTCTAATTATGGTTCAGAATTGTTGACTGCACAACATTGGTATGTTGCTGAACAGATAATGGTGTTCCTGGAACTCTTTTATGATTCTACTGTTGTTCTGTCTGGTGTTTATTATCCCACAGCTCCACTTGTTTTGCACCATATTCTTGACATTACTGAACATTTGCAAAAACTGAAAGAGATCAGAATTTTAGAATGATTGCTTATCATATGAAGCTTAAATTTCTTAAATATTGGGAGAAAATTCCACTGCTTTATTCATATACATTCATTCTTGATCCTAGAGCTAAGATGAAAGGATTCTTTAATGTGCTTGAACTACTTGTTCAACATACTGGATCCACTTATAGTTCATACTATGCTGATGTGAAAGATGAAATGTACAGATTATTCAACAAGTATGAGCAGAAATTTGGTGGTGTAGCTAGGTCTCAAAGGGTTTCACAGCCTTCAGCTCATTCTGGTAAGAGAAAGCAGGTATGGGGAAGGATCTTTGGAGGCCCTGGTGCATCCCCTGGCTGTTCCCTCTCATCTTCATCTACTCCAGCTGGAGCTGGTGTTAGTGAGCTCTCAGCTTACTTGGACAGTGACCCTGTCACATGTTATGAGGAATCCTTTGACATACTGCTCTGGTGGCGTGGCCACAAGCTAACCTATCCAATCCTATCTATTATGGCTCGAGATATCATGTCTATTCCTGTATCTACTGTCTCTTCCGAGTCTTGTTTCAGCTTATCAGGCAGGATACTTGAAGACCGGCGGCGGCGCTTGTTGCCTGAGCATGTGGAGATGCTCACCTGCATAAAGGACTGGGAGCAAGGAGTAAGAAGAGAACAACATGCACCTGAGGACGTGGACCTGGAGGAGGCATTCAAGAACCTGTTCCTGAACGAAGAAGGCGAAGGGCGTGCGGTGGCAGCAGTCTTCTTTGGTGTCTTTGGATAGTGATGACTGATGAAGAAGGAGAACTGGAGAGGTAGTGACTCTTTCCTGTTTCCTCTTTCCTGTTTAGATCAGACAGATGGCAAAAGAATGACATATTAACATGAATTCTGTACAATTTTGCGGGTACTTTTGGTCTTTTGCTGTGACTGAGTGAGTGAGTGTGAGATGAGATCATGAGAGTGGACTGTGTATATCTATAGGACCGTGGAGTGTGGACTGTGGAGTGGACTAAGTCATTAGGACTTTGCCAGTTGCCACTTTGGTTGGCTTTTGTAATAAGACACTACTACTAAGACTTTGTCTCTTTGAGCTGGCTGCACTCTTTTTTCTTTTCTAGGGTTTCTCACAAGGGTGAGTTTTATCTAGAAAGGTTTTTAATGAGGCAGCATTGCACAAAACAGCTCATTTTGATCATCATTTTCATATAACCTTGTCTGATTGTCTCTTTATCTTTTCTCTTGTGTTGTGATTTGTGATTGTGTCATTGTGTGGTACTGTGGTGAATGTGAATGTGAATCTATGAATGAATCTGTGAGCTTTTGTGAAAATGATGGAATCTTCAATCTTGTTCAAATCTGGTGAAAATTAAGAAGTTTTTTTGGTTGTCGGGCTATGGGCCGACATGGCACGGGAAAAATGACCGTGCCCAACGGGCGGCACGGCACGGTCAGACGGCCCACGGGCCGTGCCATGGGCCGTAGGCCACGCACGAAGCCCGTGGAGGCACGGCAGGCACGACGGCCCGTCGAGGCACGGCAGGCACGGCACGACGTCGGGCCGTGCCGGCAGTTGGCCATCTATACTCAGACCGTTACGGCTTCAATTTCTGGCCGAAACACTGTACATGACTGACGAACAAGAATGCCTTCAATTTTTGTTGGACTTGTGCGGCAAATGCTCCCCTTCCTAGTGTGTTCTGCTGGATGTTACATTGTCAATATTAACTCAAAACTTTGATATTATAACCAATGCGGTATCAGACTGAAAAGTGGTTAGTGGTTACTCTGTTTGGCCTCAGAATTAATTGCAGTGTGGCAGCATTGCTCAGTCAGGATTTGGGCCTAAAGAGATCATTAGTCCAACAAAACAGAAACGGAATAGACGTCATCGAATAGAATTGCATCTTGATTCCTGTATCCGATTTTCACATCCTCTAAATGCACACAGTTGTTAGTTCACCTTACATCCTCTAATCCTCTAATCCTTTAAGGCTTGTTTCCTTATTCAAATCGTTCGTCGTCATTGGTGGTTTGAACCACAAAAATCGCCTCAGACAATTGAGGCCGTGTTTAGTTTTAGGGAGTGAAATTTTGAGTTATTGTAGCACTTTCGTTTTTATTTGACAATTAATGTTTAAATATGGACTAATTAGACTTAAAACGTTCGTCTCGTAATTTCCCACCAAACTGTGCAATTAATTTTTTTTCCGTCTACATTTAATGCTCCATGCACGGGCCACAAACATTCGATGTGATAGCTACTGGAGATTTTGGTTGAAACTATACATGGGCTGAGAGTGGCTTCAGTTTCTGACCGAACTATTGCATTGACAGACAAACAAGAATGCCGTCAGCTTTTGTTGGATTGTCCGGCAACTGCTCCCCTTCCTGGTCTGATCGTCAGATTATTAATATTAACTCAAAAACTTAAGATTAGTTTTCCTGCAAAAAATTATCAACAATGCGGCATCAAATTCTAAAGTGGTTACTCTGTTTGGCCTCAGAATTAATTGCAGTGTGGCAGCATGGCTCGTAACGAGCCAATCAGCCCCGAAAGATGGTGTTTTTGATTGCTGAGTTTCATCACCGGCCATCATCAAATATTCAGATCCACTTCTACAATTGAGCATATAAATGCATAATCTCAAGGCAAAAATAAATAAAAGCATGGAGAAGCACAAAACCTCTAGACGAAAAGACGCGCGATAGATCTGCGGCCTGGCATGCGGACATCAGAATTGCAGAGTTGGCAGCATGGCTCGTAACGAGCCAATCAGCCCCGAAAGATGGTGTGTTTTGATTGCGTTTTTCATCACAGTCCACCAAGCTCGCATGGAGAGAAAAAAAAAATTATTCCTATCTCACCAGGGGCAAGAAAAAAAAACAGAAAAATTCCTATCTCGCAAGGGGAAAAACCAGAGAGGGAAAAAAAATCAGAGAAACTCCTATCTACACAAAGGAAAGAAAGAAAAAAATACGACGATGCTTCATGACCAACTACGATGTAGAGAAACAAAAAGGATGGCGCGACGGCAGCGGCGGCGGCGGCGGCGAGCACGGAAAGCAGAAACCCTAGCTAGCCGCCAGGTGATGTGTTTGAGCGACGAGGGAGGTGGTCAGTTTATAAAGGAGCTGGGGTGTTGTTCCAGCCGTTGGATTGCTTCCCGAGGACGATGTGACGATGAGGGTTTGATTATTCTGCCTAATGGGGCCCAATTCAAGGAGAAGGAACTTCGGCCCATGCTTTTTCAAATGGAAACAAGACGACATGCTGGCCCATACCAAAAGAACAGCCCAAGAAAAAAAAAAGAGAGAACAGCTCAAGCCGTTAGCCTGGTGCTGTGCATCCACTCTCCTGAACGCGGCTGCTCCTCCCCCGATGGTGCTCCCGAGCTCGGCAAATGTTGTCTCCGGTGCGGCATCGGCGGCGGCCTGAAGCGCGACGGGTAGCACGACAGCGGCAATCTTTAGCGGCGCCGTCGGTGGCGGCGGCGGGATACTCGCTGCACGCCACGCGCTGACATGGATGAGCCGCCGCGCCCGCCCCCGCCCCCGCGGCCCGCGCTCAACTCCGCCGCCGCGACGTCATGGCCGGAGCTTCTGGCGCCGTTCGACCTCTCCCGCCTCCGCGCCACGCTGTCCTCGCACCCGCTCACCCCGCGCCGCCTGGCCCGCCTGCTCGCGCTCCCGCTCTCCCCGGCCACATCCCTGCTCCTCCTCGACTGGTACGCGTCCTCGCACCCCGCGCTCTCGCTCTCCTCCCTCCCGCTCCGCCCCATCCTCGCGGTCGGGGCCGCCGACCCCGACCGCGCGCTCGCGCTCCTCGATTCCCTCCCGCGCTCCCGCCTGCCCCCGCTCCGCGAGTCCCTCCTGCTTCCGCTCCTCCGCTCCCTGCCCCCCGGCCGCGCGCTCCACCTGCTCGACCAGATGCCCCGCCGCTTCGCCGTCACCCCGTCCTTCCGCTCCTACAACGTCGTCCTCTCCACGCTCGCGAGGGCCGACTGCCACGCCGACGCCCTGCTCCTGTACCGCCGGATGCTCGGGGACCGCGTCCCGCCCACCACCTTCACCTTCGGCGTCGCCGCGCGCGCGCTCTGCCGCCTCGGCCGCGCCGGCGACGCGCTCGCGCTGCTCCGCGGGATGGCGCGCCACGGATGCGTGCCCGACGCCGTGCTCTACCAGACCGTCATCCACGCCCTGGTCGCGCAGGGCGGGGTCGCCGAGGCCGCGACGCTCCTCGACGAGATGTTGCTCATGGGGTGTGCGGCGGACGTGAACACCTTCAACGACGTAGTACTCGGGCTGTGCGGGCTCGGGCGTGTGCGGGAGGCGGCCAGGCTGGTGGACAGGATGATGATGCAGGGATGCACGCCAAGTGCGGTGACATATGGGTTCCTCCTGCGGGGGCTGTGCCGAACAAGGCAGGTGGACGAGGCATGCGCGATGCTGGGGAGGTTGCCGGAGGTGAACGTGGTGATACTTAATACGGTGATCCGGGGATGTCTGGCGGAGGGGAAGCTGGCCAGGGCGACAGAGTTGTATGAGATGATGGGTTCAAAAGGATGCCCGGCGGATGTGCACACATACAATATATTGATGCATGGCCTTTGCAAGCTTGGGAGGTTTGGTTCAGCAGTGCGGATGCTTGATGAGATGGATGAGAAGGGCTGTGCACCAAACATCGTGACCTACTCTACCTTTCTGCATTCATTTTGCAGGAATGGCATGTGGGATGAGGCAAGAGCAATGCTGGATCAGATGTCAGCCAAGGGCTTTAGTATGAACTCCCAAGGATACAATGGAATCGTATATGCCTTAGGCAAGGATGGCAAGCTTGATGAAGCGATGAGGCTTGTCCAAGAGATGAAGAGTCAGGGGTGCAAGCCTGATATTTGCACGTACAATACAATAATCTATCATCTCTGCAACAATGACCAGATGGATGAGGCAGAACATATTTTCGGAAACTTACTTGAAGAGGGTGTTGTCGCCAATGGAATAACCTATAACACTCTCATTCATGCACTTCTTCGCAGTGGAAGGTGGCAGGAGGGCCTAAGGCTTGCAAATGAAATGGTACTTCATGGTTTCCAGCTAGATGTTATTAGCTACAATGGCCTGATTAAAGCCCTCTGCAAAGAGGGGAATGTTGATCGGAGTATGGTGTTGCTTGAGGAAATGATGACAAAGGGAATTAAGCCAAATAATTTCTCGTATAACATGCTGATCAATGAACTGTGCAAGGCAGGAAAGGTACGTGATGCATTGGAGCTCTCAAAGGAGATGCTGAATCAAGGACTGACACCTGACATTGTGACTTACAATACTCTCATAAATGGGTTATGCAAAGTGGGATGGACACATGCTGCTTTAAATCTCCTAGAGAAGCTACCCAACGAAAATGTGCATCCTGACATTATCACATACAACATTCTCATTAGTTGGCACTGCAAAGTCAGATTGCTTGATGATGTGGCTATGCTTCTAGACAAAGCAGTAAGTGGGGGAATAGTTCCTAATGAGCTTAACGTGGGGAATGATGGTGCAAAATTTTGTCAGGCAGCCAGTCAATCTTGAGGGTTACTAGAAGGATTTATTGTATATGCTGTATGTCATAACGGTTTTGGGACTCTGCAGCCTCGATATGCTTTTAGATCAATATGGGTAGCATCTTAACTTCCAGCATAGTGATGTCGTGCATGTTGATCTGGTACATATTTCTTCTCTGTTACAACTTGTACCATCAAAGTTACATCTATTGACCAAGTAATGCTATTTAATATCTTCCTGTGCAGAGTGATAATGGATACAATAGTACTAAATTTTGAGTTGTACTCGCAAGGTACAAGTAAATTTAAAAAGCTAGCAACTTTCTAATGAAATGTGCTCGTTGCAAAATTACTGATGTTTGTAGCATAAGCATACTTTCTTTATGTAGTAGAATCTTTTGTTCCTTTGGAAATCTTGACCCAACCATGTTCTGTGCTCTAGAATTTAGAGAACCTGTTATAGGCATTTACAAACTGTATGTGCATACCTGTTTGGTTGTCATTATGGCAAACAAGGGCAACTACCCAACTGAAACAATGGAAATCTTCATCTTAGCAGTGATGTAATATGATTGGTAAATTGGTTAATTGCGTGAAGTGTAGCTTGATGACATATAATGCTGAGCTTTGCAGGACTATTGGAGCCCTTTTTCTCTTAGATTACTGATTAAGCACCAAAGCAAATAGCCATTGACAGAATTCAACCAGAGTCTTGGCTGAAAATGCTTGAACAGGAAGGAAGATCTCTGGTAGCACAGTGGTCATGTTGTGAGTGACAATAATGGACCTTTCTACTATTCCAGCTGCACATCCTACCTACAGTATTGAACCGCCCTAAGGTACAGAAATCCTAGGGTGCAAGAAAAATCTGTTAATTGGACGTACAGTACTTGCTTACATAATCTTTTTCCTATTTGAAAAGGCAGCATATAGTATGAAACAAGTGCACCCCAAATACTTTTTCATTGTTTGTTTTCTTAAAGCACGACCCAACTTGCTTATAGTCATACAGTGTTCTTCAGAATATGACCACTTCAATTGAGGTGCCGAAGGGTAGTTCCAGTGTCTACTTTAAAAGAAAAAGGGGGTAGCTTGAGGGAACATAATAGTTTGATAGTTCTGGAGTAGCTAATGCTCTTGAGGTTTAATCTGAATTTTTTGGCATAAGCAGCCTATTATTGTGCGCTCTTATTGGATTCTCTGAGTTAGCAATATCAGAAGAGACTGTGAAATTGCTGTTGAGATTGTGATGGGATCCTGTATAGAATTGGTAAATATCGTAAACTAGAGATAGATTTTCTCTTGATTTTCCAAAGACAGGGCTGTATTGGTACACTCCATTATCAGCACTATGATAACTGTGTGGGTTTTCTAATTACAGGAATCCCGTTTGGTGCAGGATGAAGACCTTGATCCTTCATATAGATGAAAATTTTGTGTTATGTTACTTCTTTATCTTTGGGATCTGTATTCTTGAAAACTGATGGATTTGTCTCCGTGTGAATTAAAGTCGTAGTAGCAGCACTGTGAAGGGGGCAATACATAGATGAATGCCAACACTGTGATTTTAAACATGAAATACTGTGGTTTAACGAAATCAAATTATTAAAGTTAAGCTTATTGTATTGCATAGGTATTGGCCAACTAATGTATTGTACAGTATTGGCCAACTAATGTATTGTACAGTATTGGCCTCCATGAGGCTCTGCCCCTGTGGGTGGCTGCATTATTCTAGCACTACTGATCTGGAGCTTGGATGGATTCACGCTTTTTTCATGAAGACAGCGTGTTTATTAAGCTTTTCACTCATTCATTTAACCGGATATGACCACAAAAACTTGGAGTCATGAAGTTTGATCTACTGTACCTTTTCCTACAGAGATGCAATTTGTTTCATTTGGTGACTGTAAGCTTACTTTTTGATAGTTTCCTCTTTTCTCCTGGCTTGTGCAGTGGCAGTGAACCATTGAGTAAGTAGTTGAATACCTGTGAAGCCTGAACCAGAGTCTCCCTGGGATGGTTGGCACTGATCGTGAATTTGTGATGCTGTCTGTGGTCAGCATTTTCCACGGCAGTTAAGGTCAACATTTGGCCTCTCTTGAGATTCTGACATGTGTGTTTTTAAAGAACATCCATCGTGCTGAACATGCTGAACCCAAGCACTTTGATTGATGAAATGCTGAAGAAATCATGCTTGTGGCACATGAAAGCATGGCAAGGCCTCCCAGGTACTATACGTATTCTTGTATTATTGTGCCTATTTTCAGTTTGTTGAAGCACTATTCACACACACAAAAACAAGTTTGTTGAAGCACTGTATTATTCTAACCAGGTATTTCCTAATTCAGTGCAGCACAATATGTTGGTGGCATCCAGGAGCTTTTCCTCTCCTCCCAGCATTCTACTAGTATTTGCTTGCGAGGCCCAAGGCAAGCGACCCAGCGTCGTGTGTCTCCGGCGCACTCCCCGCCGCCTCACCGTCCCCAAACCTAAAGCCAGCGACCAGCGTGCGCGGCTCGGCCGCAGATGCAAGGCGTGGTCGTCGACTCGTCGTCGCTTCCGAGGCTTCCCCAAAGCACGATGCGTCCACGGCCAAGGCGGCGGCCATACACGGAGTGTACCAATACAGCCCTGTCTTTGGAAAATCTCATAGTGCTGATAATGGAGTGGACGCATCGTGCACTATGAGATTGCATACAGCCCTGTCTTTAGAATTGGTAAAAAATCTCTACAGCCCTGTCTTTGGAAAATCAAGAGAGGGATCCTGTATAGAATTGGTAAATATCGTGACACTCCATTATCAGCACTATGAGATTGCATATGCATACAGCCCTGTCTTTAGAATTGGTAAAAATCTCTGAGTATGTGTTTGCGTGCGTGCGTGGGAGCAAGAGCAAACTGGATGGGTCATGGGAGTTGTTACCGTTCCAACCTCGCGTGTTCCTAGGCAGGATTTTTATTCACCCTTGGATTCTGCGGCTGTCTGCTCGAAGCTGCAAACGGCTTGGCCTGCTCCGAATACGAGTGAGATCCTGCGGCAGCGAAGCCGAAGCTGAGGAGCACTGGTACGTGTCTGCAGTCCAGCCGGCCAAGGCGTTCGGTTGGCTGGTTAATTTTCTGTTTGGCGATCGATGAATGCTGCTGCCCCGCCTGCTGTGGCGGTTGTGCAAGAATGCAAGAGGGGCGGACGGGCGGGCGTGCGCTACACCCACGCTGCGGCCTCGGCGTCGCGTCTCGGCCGTCGAGACACCACGAGCGCGGCGCAGACCTGCACGCACACGCACACGCACACGCACACGCACACGCACACGATCACGCTCACGACGGGCCTCCTTTCGCTGCACTGCACCGCCTGGCATGGCAGTCCGAGACTCCGAGTGCACGACCAGCGCAGCGTTGGGCTGCCACTCGGTCAATGGCTCTGGCCCCACAAGGCTGACGGCACGGTAACCACCGTTGTTGTCTCGGTCAAAATGGATGTACCACCGCCACTCGTGCGCACTGCTAGGAGGCAGGCGTACCTGTGTCCTCCCGATGCTTCTCCAGTGCTCGCTTGGACGCTTACCGGGGCCTTGTTCACTTTACAAATTTTTTTAACTCGATAAATAGTACCATTTTCGTTTTATTTGGTAAATATTGTCCAATTGTAGACCAACTAGGCTCAAAAGATTCATCTCGTGATTTCCAACTAAGCTGTGTAATTAGTTATTTTTTTTATCTACATTTAATACTCCATGCAAGCGACTAAAAATTGATGTGATAGAGAGAGAATGAAAAAACTTAAAATTTGGATGGCATCTAAACAAGGCCCGGGTGGAAATTACTAGAGAAAATTTCCTCGTTGCCATCAAATTTTCCAAATTTCCCTCATTGCCATCGGGTACAATTTGCATTTCTCTATCTGTCATTTCCGTCACTTCCCGTTAGTATCGCCGTTAGGTGGTGTGGAAGCCTCTTTTGTCGCCTCTATTCCCGAGTCGCTGGCCATCTGAAGCCGGAAAGGACATGGGCAGATGCGCTAAAGGCTGCATCGTCACTGAGCGGTGCCCAAGAGTCATGACTCAACTGCATGCACTGGACTGGTTCCCTGACTAAGCTTGGCCCCTTGCTCTTGCGTTGCTAATTTACTGCTCCTGCTAGACTGCTATCCAACGAATTAGGCACTTGATCACAGCACCACCAGTGCGTTGCTACTACAACTTTCTACTCTTTCTCTAGCTTGCTGGAGTTGCTTCAAGTTCTGCTCCTGGCTGTACTGCTTTTGCGATGCGTCCGTCAAGTATGCCACCTTGAATTGCAATGTTGGTGTACACGTACCGTTCTCAGTCTTTCTGCTCATACCAGCTTGGATTGGAAGCCGGCCCTGCTGCTTGCCCCGTGGCGCGACTGCACGCCTGACAGGAGAGAGAGAGAGAGGCCACGAGCTGGGTGCTCACGCTTGGCTGCCAAGGGCGACGCCTAGGCAAGCAGCGGTTCACGGCCTCCGGCCCCGACCGCGGGAGCGGCGCGCAAGCGCAGGCGCAGCTTCCCGTGCGGCCGACTGCCGACCACGACCGCGTTGAGATTCACCTCTAGCAAACGCGAGGGCACGCTAAGCTTGGCTCCCGCTGCCAATGGCAGGTTTGGCTCTGCCTACGGCCGCCGGCAGGTCGTAGACCGATGGATAATAGAGATAGATAGTGGGGCCCAGCTGTCGGCAACTATAAGTTAGTAGGTTTTAACGGAAGTGGCATTGAAGGAAACACAAAATATATTCCATGGCAATGAAGGAAATTGAAAATTTTAGATGGCAACGAAAGAAGTGCTATAATCTTTAGTGGTAAAGAAGGAATCGGCTCAAATTACTAGCGGCAAAATGACGAGGGCACACCAAACTTACAGCAAACGATTGACCTCGATAAAACCTCCTATAGAACACAAGACCTCTAATATACAAGAATAGAAAAAATAAGTACTCCCTCTATCCCTGAAACACCGTTGTTTTATGAATGAATCTAGACAGGTGTTTGTTCAGATTTACTTCTAAAA